CTACATATATGCACATGCATACATGGATCTAACCCGCTGACGTGCAGAAACGGGCCCAGACGCGCGTTGATTTGCGAGAGTAGCGCGCGCGGGAGGCGAGCGTGCGCCGCACACATGCCACAGACACTAAGTCAGTCACACAATAGCGGGCTTACAATGGCTGATCCAGGAGATATGTTCTGCGTCAGCAAAGACATTTGAATTTCTGAGCCAACATTTACCTTTACACAGCGTGTGAGCACAGCACATTTAAATGTAGGGGGAAAAAAAAAAAAGCAGGCCTGTTGCTGATAATGTTCCAACTTTTCTTTTGTTCTGACTGGAACCTTACCACATGTTGGGACGAACATTCAAAGGTAGAAGTGACAATTAAAACGCAGAAGATGGCAGACAATACTGTCTCCCAAATGCTGGATATCTTTTTTTTATGAGTATTGCAGGTTGGCCTGTGATTGTCGGTCTTCAGTAGGAGGGGAAGGAGATCTCGTAAAATGCCGCAAAATGTCTCAAGAACCTGATCTGTCTGGTAAAAGGCCATTTAGCTGCTAACAACTCACCAGTTTCTTGTTTTATAAGGCAAGTGTGAGAAATTAACATGATTACTTTAAGCTTGACATCTTGTATCTATGTTTGGCCCTCTTATTTTAAAGAAGAAAAAAAAAGGTAGTTCACATTGTTGCAGTTTTGGGTTGGCATAGTTAGCCTGACTGCTAATCAGGCTAACTTGCTGAAGTCTCCACCAAAGATTTATGGACAAAATATGAACGACGTGCAAAAATACAGCGACTGGCTGACTGTTAGCCACTTACAATGGTAAAGCTGGTTTTTTCCTTCAATTTTTTTTTTTTTTTTTTTTTTTTATGAACCGGTAAGCTAAGGAGTAAAGTTATTGTTTTTTAATGTAATGTGATTTATAAATACTCAACTGTGTTAAGTTCAAGTAAAATCTTATCACAGATTCTTTGAGACGCAGTTTGGGTCTTGTGAAGCTTTAAATGAACACATACATCATGAACAGCACAATGTTTTAACTCGGTTGACACGTCAGTCAACACAAGCACTGTGCAGGAACTTGTTCAAATAAAAATGTTTTTGCGCACATTCAGTTCATATTTTCATGGTGCCATTAGACATTGACATTTACCCTCACAGGTAAGAATGTGGTGACTGGTGTGTTTTTGTGCAAGTGTATACACGTTTGTGTGTGTATCCAGGCTCGTTTTAGATGGTACACCTATGTATCTGGCTCTTGAAAACTTCTGATAGACAATTGTTGCCTCTCTTCTCAATTCAAAGTAAATCAGACACTGTCCTCTTCGCTTAAAACTTCACATAAACTGAAAGCTGAAGGTTCAACAGCATCCAATTGCCATTGGAAGTGCTCAGGAGTTAGACACAGGCAGCCAGGTAGTTTGCGATTACGTCAAAGAAAAGGCCAAGCTTCTCGCTGTTAATCACTTCCAATACTACTCTGTGATCAGAGTTAAGTAGCCTATTGCTAAAATATCAACAGATTTTATCACTTGACATGTGTGAAAGGAACCCCAAGTTCATGCGCTCTTTAGAAAATTAAATGCAAAGTCCTTCCCATCATGATTTTGACACTGATTTTCCTTTCTGACAAAGAAAACCTAACAATATGTGAAACTTTGAGAGTTTGGCTACATTAATATTATAGTTTTCTCAAAGGAAAAGGGCAGGAGAGAACTAAATGTAAATAAGCTAGGGAAGCACATGTTGAAAATGTTAAAACAAATACAAAAGGGTGACCAAGCACAACACTGATTAGCATTTTAGCAAACATTGGACACATCGTAGAGAAGTTAGCCAAGAGAGTGCGCATCAATTGCGTACCAACTGCGCCATCACCACAGCTGTCTGTTGGCCTCACAAGTTATTATTTTGAAATTATAAAGCCTGCTCATGTGTGCACCTCCAAATTTTTGTAACTTTTAACATTTATTGACGCAAAAACACGGTAGACTGCTGGTGGACTACGCTAGAGACCTTACCACCTGGCTTTCTCAGGGAACCCCTGCATATGACATATAAACAGCTTTTTAGCTTTCACTTTTTGACCACATTTACAAGTTTTGTTGCCACAAGTCAGAGATGACTTGAGGGACATATGAGAATTTTTCAGAGTTTTCACTAACTCTTTTCAGTACAAAAAGGTTTGACTTTGCGATGGTTGACATTCGACCCTGAACTCAACCGTGGTGTCAGGACTCTCAGCAATGAGTACAGCGGATAACTGTGAGAGAAAAGTTTCGCTTAATACAAATGGAGCAAATGCAGCTGAGGACAGAGACCTGAAAAATATTTTGGGCTCGCAAAGGAGCTGGCATGTGAAAATAACTTTCTTCAAGGCCAACAACAATAGGACACACTTCAAATGGCTACATCCCATATCAGACGCAACTATGTGCAGATCTGGGATGTTCATCCAGGCAGGTTCCCACAGTCCATCTGATATAACCAAAACTTGCAACATCAGTCAAAGTCGTAGACTTTCAGTGTCTCTTTCTTGATCTCTTCTCCTCCTAGTAGCAACTTTGCCACATAATTGTAACTGTGTAAAAATCCATCTGGGAGAGTTTTCTCACCTCCACATGGGCTGAAATGTTCAAGACGTAACAACAAACTTGTTCTGGGTCTAAAGACTGAAATGAACGTGAATAACATCCTCTGACAAATTGTGTTGCCGTTGGCTTGCCGTCAATTATAAAAAGAAATGGTTTCCTTACGGTCACTTAACACTGTATAAACTTGCATGTGATAAAACAAACAGCATAACACTGTTTATGAGGGGTATTTAATGTTTGCAAGGCAATTATGTAGGTAAAGGAAAGTGATCTGGTGGTGTCACTACTAGAAAGTACTAGTAAAATTAAATATGAGAAAGATCTAGAAGATTTTGTTCTTTTTAAAAAACAGTAGCGTAGTCATTTAAGCTAGGAATTTAATTGATTTGTGTTGATTATATTTGAAGAAGTTGGGATATTAAAATGAAAATAAGTAAAAACAACTCCATGCAGAAAGTCCCTAGGTCGGCATATGAACCCAGGACCTTCTTGCTACCAGGCAACAGTGCTAACAAGTGAGCTATCAGTATTAGCATTAACCTTTGTTGTAATTTTGCTAAATTTCTATTTAAAGAAGCACTGATTTCTATCAAAGCAACTGTCGAGTATTTTTGAGTTCAGCCGTGACAACCAAAGCAGTTTTTATCCTCTATAATCTGACTGTTTACATGAAACTAGATTTGAACTTGCTTTCGTATTATGTAATCAACCATTTCCTGTAGGTACCGTTTTTACAACTGGAAGCAGCTGATTAGCATCTCAAAAGCTCAAACAAAACCTGAACTACAACCTTAAAAGGGAGGCTTCATGGCTGCAGAGCAGGACCAAAACATCCAACATCTGTCTGCCTGGCTTCTTAACCATCCAACCAGGTGCGCATTTAAAGCGGCAAAAGCTACTGAGGTGGATTAGCAGTTCTTGACAACAACTGATTGTGTCAACCAGGTCATGCTAGTGTGGAACAACATCTCTGCTGCCTAGATTTTGAGTTGCTAGCTTAGCTTGACTGTCATAGAGCAACAGTCTTCAGTCAGCAGTCTCTTCGGATTCATTGCAAGACTGACTGCTACTGGAGATCCTTCCTGCCCACAGCATCATCATCCAAAAACGACTCTTTGAAGATGCTCCGATAGTATGGGTTATAATAATATTTCATTTCCCTTTGGGATAAATAAACTATTTTAGTAGAATTGACATCTTACACAGCACTGTGCAGACAGCACAAGGCTTTTTATAGCCAGCAAAGGGCAATGAGAGCCAGTTCCTTGCTCATTTATTTTCTTTCTTGAACATGTAAAATTTATTTTTCCAATTGTAAGCACAAAACTGAATTTTTACACAAATTTTTTGAGAAAAAGCTACGCATTAATGACCCTTTCTCTCTCAATTGGGGTCATTAGTACAACTTTATTTTACCCCTGGAGAGTTTTCTGCTGAACTTTTGGACTCTTTGGAACACTTACAAAATACTTACAAAATATATATGGGCCGCTGCAGACCCGGGATGCACCACTGAGGTTTTGGATATGCCCTGACCCAAATGTGTCACATTCGAACGCTTCCCCGTTTTTCCTGCTTCTAAACACATCAACTTCGAGGTCATGAGGTTCACCAACGCGCCCAGAATCTCATCGCCACTAACAGGTGCCACAATGTAAACATAATCTGACTTGTTCACTTCACCTGTCAGCGGTCATAAAGTTTTGCCTGATTTGTGTATATATTGTTTTATTTCCATCCAAGAGTAGCAGTGAAGATGAGGGTTAGCTGGATGACTGTGTCCGAACGTGCGCTTGAAATTTTCATTCTTAAAATCTAGTTTCTTTAAGTTCAACAGTTTATTTTATTTTTTGGTTTATTTTACATATTGTGTAAAAATAATACTTTTTTTTCTTTACATATTTTTCTTTATTTTTTGACTGGGGACTGGCTCTCTCCTCCTGAAGGACCCATGCAGTCACTTACCCTCATGTTGGAACCCAAATATGTGCACTTTTGTTTCTTCCCCTGGCCATGTGCTTCCGGGGTGGTTCGCTACAGCATTTAAACTGCCTCTTGTCCCCCCCCCCAACCCCTCCATCACTTTTATAACACTTCCATTGGTGAGAAACTTTCTCCTTCTCCTTCACCCCTTCTGAAAACAAAAAAAAAAATGTGTCTAAACTGTCAGCTGCCCTCCAACCCAGATGCCATATTTAGGATACAAATGTGAAGAGATGACAGCGTTGTAAAATGGAGCCCGTGCTGAGATTATAATTAACATTTCCAACCTACATCACTCTCCCTCCCACTTCTCCTTTGCTCTCCCCTATTCACTCACTCCTGTACGATAAATTGGGGGGGGGGGGGGGGGAATAGAAGAAGAAAGAAAAGAAGGGGAGAAAGAAAAGAAAGGGAGATGAAGGAGGAGGAGGAGAGAGTGAGAGAGGAGAGGGTGACCAAACGGAGGGAGGGAGGGGGAAACGGCGTATGCTTGTATACAACCCTGATTTCCATTTTTTTCCCAACTCGTAATGTATTTAATTCAAGTGAAACGTAATCATGACGTGTCGTGTCATTAATCTCCTCGCCGCCTCTCCCGTAAGTACACTGAGTCTTTACTTTCAACATATATCCTATATCTTCATTTATCCATTTCAATTTTTCCCACTACTATGTTTACATAGCCCGTGTGTACACTTTTACACTCGGTGGCATGACACAGCGGTGATGAAACATTTCCAAAAATGGAGAATTTAACTGCGACTCTTGTTGCCTTTTTTTTCTCCCCTCTTCTCGCTCGCGAGCGGGATAATGGTAGTTGTTGATGTGTTTTGTATCTCTCTGCTTCTTTCATGTGCAGTTAGCTCTCTCGCGCGCGCACACAAGGAGAGACACACGCGCGCGCGTGTGTGTGTTAGCATGTGGAGTGATTGGCATGAAGCACGTATGTATGGTATGCATGTAAGCGCGCGTTCGCTCGCTCCGGACACACTTTCCGTTGGGTCATGTATGTAAAAACCGGGTGTTGTGTCGGTGCGCGCGTGGACGACATGCGTTTTAGCCTCGTCTCAAGTCCGTGACGTGACGGTAAAAAACAGGAAAATAAGGGGAGAGAGAAAACCGCTGTTTTCACCGAAAAAGCCCCCTCAGCGTAACAGTTTGAACAAGTCGACTCGGTAGGTCGGGGCGATTTTTAACGCCACTTTAAAATGGTCGCAAGTGCTCGAAAAGTCGCTCGGAGTGTTAAAAAGAAGAATTTGTTTCAAATTTAAGCAACTTAAAGTAAGTTGGGAGCTGCTGTCAGGAGGAGTGAATTTGGGCAACTCTAATAATAAAACAATGCGATGTTCGAGTTGGAAAGTAAACTAGAGTTGATAGAATTCGGATGTCAAAGCATGGGGGTAAAAGCCAAATTTAAAAAGTGTCTAATTTTGTGTAAGTTGAGTTGAAGGCGAACGTATTCAGCCCGACTAATTGTCTTTGTTGGACGCACATTAAACGGCATTGTGTGGCTCCTTGTTTTTGAGATAAGCGTCGTCACTTTCATTTTAGCTTTGCGCATAAAAAGCGTCTCGTGCGACGTTATTCCTTTCACCTTTTTTTTTTTTTTACTACAGTGTTTACTATCAGGCGTTTAGCTGTCCTAACATCGCCTCATAAAGTAGCAAATAAAGTGTGACATGCAGGTTTGAATCATGTGAAGACTAGATACCGGGTTTCAGCTTTGATGTTAAAAATAAACGTGTTTTTTTCGGACGCTGTGGCTTTTTGGGACGGATGTCGTTTTGAGATTGGCACAGGGTTAAAAATGAAATCCATGATGGCACTTTTCTCTTTTTTTGTACCCCCCTCCTTCTTTCCTTTCGCTGTTCGCTCACTCGCCTTTTTCTCCCCTCCCTTAATCTTTTGTATAGAAAATTTAGGAACAAAATGGAGCAGGGGAGAGAGCGATAGATGGGCTGACATGACACTCACACACACACGCCACCCCTCCGACTTCTCCAAACTACACCCCCCGTCCCCTACTCCTCCTCCGCTGGTGGTGTTTTAATCGCATTCTTTTTCTCTGGGATACAATCTACGGGGCAGGGTTAATCTCGTTTTAGTCGGGGTGTTTATTAGTGCATTGTTTGTTGATGGTTATTTATTTCATTAATGTGCCTCTAATTGAGATGGCCGCGAGAGGAGGAGGAGGATAGAGAGGGGAAAAGAGCGTGCTGAAAATGGTTGCACGTTATTGACGCACATCACAGGGGCGAGGAGGAAATTCCTCTCGAGATAAGGCGCAGACGTGTCATCTAGCCTGACCAAAAAGACACTCCCGTCGCCCTTTTCTATATCCAATGGAATATGTTTAGGCATTCTGAAATGCCCCTTTTTTTTTTTTTTTTTTTTTACATCCACCCAAAATGTCACACTCTTGAGAGCTGTGTGTGTGTCCAGAGGAAGTAGGTTGACATTGCTGGCTTGTCCTATAATCAGACGATTTTGAGAATCCTTAAACTTTTGTTTGTATCCAAGTTTCCTTTTACTGTAGGTTTTTTAAAGTGACATGCAGAGCTTTTTTTTTGTAAAATGCATTTAAGTTTTGACAGTTTATTATGTATCGGACAACACTTAATAGTCCGTTTTTAAGTTTGTTTTGCTTTGTTGGTTGTCAATCGGTGAGATAACATAAAAAAATAAGTTTCTACACCCCAGTTCATTTGAATAAATTTATTTGTAGTTTTTCTCTTTTTCCTCCTCATTTCCATGTTTTTACTCCAAATACATTTGCTTTTAATAAAATACACAGAAGCAGTTTGTGAAGATAATCAGGGCACACTGGAGTGACCAAATTAAGTTTTTGAAAAAAACATTTAGGGGCGCACTCCCTAAATGGGCCCAGATTGGCAAAACTGATCTTATCTACTGATCTTATCCAACTCCAAATATCTGAAAATCTGCCACCTATTGCTCTGCCGTTAGCGAGGGCAGACCTGCTCCCACCAAGTTCAATCTGCATGTGCACAGTTAACAAGTCACTCTACCATTGCCAACTTAGTGGACTTTCACCAAAAAAAAAAAAAAAGAACGAAAGAAAAAAATACTGGTATCGAAATCGGCAGGTCATCCTTTTTGAAGATTGGTGATCAGCCAGAAAACTGCAATCAGTGCACCCGTGAATACATTACAATAACATACTTTTGAGGTCCTTTTTTTTTCTTGCAGACCCGTTAGACCACCCACTATTTCTGGCCAAATATATCTCCAAACAGACTCATGTGTCCAATGGAGGTTATAAAAATCATGTTTTTTTGTCAAAGGCTAGGTTAAGCCACTTAGAGCTCAAATGTTTCTGAATCCATATAAAAACTGATTTTAATACCACAAGTTTTACTAATGCCAGCCAATCAAGTCAGTTCTTGTGTCTCATGTGATGTCATCAACCTAAATAAATACAAAGCAGAATTTGTGGAGCTTTATTTTCTTCAGTGTGATGTTAGGAAAAATCTTTGTGAAATATGTCGTTGAGCTACATACTTAATTACCTTTTGTTTTATAGTCAGTGTATATTTGAAAAAAAAAAATAAATAATACACCACTATACAGTGCCTTTAAATTGAAATAACTTATAAAGCAGTGGCCAGAAAAACGAAAGCCGATTTAAAAAAAAAAAAAGTTTTTTGTAGCAGATTCCTGATCTCCAGCTCTTGTAAAGCTTTCAGCTGCGAATACAGACTCAGCCAATTTTCCTCTTTAAGAACAATAATTTAAAGAAGACATAGGAACATCATTCCAAGCTTTTTCTTAACTCTCCTGCCACAAGAGGTCATACATTAAAAAGTTTCTACAACGAAGGTTTACCAATGAAAAATAAAAACAAAGTTGACTTTTTAAACCGTCTTTAGCTTCACATATCAGCAATCTGACCAGTTAGTATGTCTAGCATTTCTAAAGCTCTGTGTGTGTCCCCATCAATATGAGTGTAGTTTCACTAAGAGGCTTCCAAAGGGCTGCCAACATTTCCAAATTTAGTTTAAGTTGTTAAAACACAAAATGTTCTGCCTTCCTGTTTTCTGGTCAATTTTAGCTTTACTGCTCTTCCTCTGGCTTGAAAAAAACCACAGACATGACTCCTCAGGCCATTACAAGATAATTTATTTTAAATAGCTTCTGATATCTTTCTGCTTCTCTGACTTCATTCTAATACACCACCCTGATGCTAATAAGTAACCAGCTTTTATGTTTTTCATTCAGTAACATTACCCACACTGAAGAGTGCTGTTGAAAGTGTGATCTAGTTCAATAATCGAACAGGATCGGATTTGGGAGTTTTTCTATAAAGTAAACTCTGGTGATCATTTGTTGCATTCCTAAAAAGTAGAGTTGGAAAATGGCACTTTTAGTCACAATTCGGATTCTTTTGAACTTGTACATAAGGAAACAAAACTGGAAGCATCACAAATGTTTATCTTCTACTCCGATTAAGTTCGTTCAGGTCACCAGTTAATTTTTTAGGGTGTCTCTGAAAAGCTCAGTTTGAATTTTAGTCAAACTTCTCGTTTTTCTCAACTTGTACATGGCAGAAAACTAAAAAGTAGGAGGGTTAATGTTTTTCTTTTACTTCTTATACAACACAAAGAGTTGAAGACTTCCCCCTTCACCTCTACAGGTAGCCTGCTTTTTGGTAACAAGATGATGATTTCATGTGAAACCCTTTGCAGGTACTCATCAGGATCCAGCTGCACTAATGAACATTAAACACGGGCCCAACATTAAAAAGGGTCTAATGGGTTTTGCTCATTCAGACCCCTATCTGCTTTTTGTGTTCAAGTAGTGTCCTCCTGCTCCTCCGCCACCATCAATGCCGCCTACTTGCTATCTTTGTGCGCATAGTACTGCGCTGTACTTGAGGGGGCCACACACATACACACACACACGCACTTACACACACCATCCAATCCAGGTGGCTCCTGGGAACAAGATTGTATGCGAAGGAGAAAGAGATGGAGTAAAAGGGAAAGGAGTGTAGCACCAATCAAGGCCTCTGATTGATATAATTGGGTCATTAGTGCGCCACGGGAGAGGCACCTGCTTGCCCTCAGTTAGGGAGAATCTACTGCATTGTGACATTTTGAGACTGTTGAGAGTTCTGCCTGCTGCTAGGGATTACTGTGAATTTAGAGCATTAGGGTCTTACTGATGTAGCATGACACTTTTCACAGATCGTATTGAGTTTGGAAACTACTTTTCAAATGATCTAGCAGTGGAAGTGGACAGTTGGAGTTGCAATTTCCGAAAAAACAACAAAAAGGTGAAACTCAGGAGAGCTTTGTTAATTTTAAAATGGGGAAAAAAAGGCCTGTGAACAACTGAAGCAATCACTGTATTTTTACTAGTCATTGATCAGACGTCTGGTTGGAGATGACAGTAACTTTTAAGCTCATTACTGAAAATGTTTCCTGCCAACAATCAGCTTACCATAAGGAATAACACTTTACAGATCTACTGAACTGTTTGGCATCTTTTACCACAACTTAAGCTTTCCAATTTCGTTTTCTTTTACAAACATATGTCAAGGCTGCCTTTAGGGGCATCTTAGGATTTAATACCTT